CAAACTTCAACAGACTGGTTAAACTACACCTTGATAACCAGATTACAATTAATACTGCACATACGCCACTACAGCATGATAGCTCAAGGTTTGCCAGACAACTGGAGAAGTATGTTTCTTTGTGACATTAGATATCAACTAATAGATATATTTTTTTTTACTAAACATGTGGTCAAACCCAAGTTAGTTGATAATCTAAACAAGCTGCTAGACATGCTCATTCTCAACATCAATGCTTAGCTTGAGGGGAAGTATTAATATAGTAATACTTTATTCCCAGGGGTATTTGTTCTTTTCATTTTTTGGTAATAAATAAAAAATAAATTTATTGATAGAAGAGGAAGGTACGGCTAAGGGTGATAAGAGATCACTAGAAATACAAAGCAATACAAATTACAAAGGTAGACACTCAAAGAAGAAAGACAAAAAACAAAAGCCAAGAAAAGGACAAAGCTTTTAAGCCAACTCAAGAACATTCCAAAATCCAGCACCAAGATATTTTGGAACCCCTTCAAATGTTAGACAGTATATGCCCTTAGCTCCAATCAGATTGATTTACTTATTGTCATTTATTGTAAATGAATAAAGTGCATAATTGATTCGTGTTATTATGGTGTGTTTCTGTGTAATACCCTTAAACTGGACACTTATCAGACTTGTGTTAGTTTATAATTTTCACAGCCGTTGGATAGATCTGGGGAGATTTATCCTGCCAAGGCTGACACTGATGTGCCGCCAAGTTGGTTGGGGTGGCTTGTCTCAACTGCTAGGGTGAGACCTGAGGTACATGCAGTGTGGGTTTGTTTGAAACCCTGAACCGGACCAAATTCCAGTATTGCCCTAGACCTTGGAGATAGATGGGCAAAACTGGAATGTTACACCTGACCCCTAGACTCGATTATGGTACTGCACTAGGTGTCGGATTGGGCTGTCTTTGATATGCCAATCAGTGAGATCCTTTACCGGGTCAAAACCTGGGTATGTTGGGGCAGTCCGAGAATTCACCTGAGTGGGTGATCATAGTGACAGGATCAGCCCCTTTGTCGGACAAAGTGAATGATCGGGAAATGCACTCTCTCTGATGGAAACCTAAACTACTTGCGGTGGATTTCAAATGTGTTTGAAATTTGGTTTTGCAAAATATATTTATATAGAAATATACTTATATATTATGGTTTCAAATTGTTTGCAAAAAGGTTTTAATTCCTGGGATCCATGTGAGTAGAGAGTGCAACACTGTACCTTGCAACCGAGGAGAGGTCCTTTCTTGTCGGGCAGTGTTTGATCATTATGGGCCGAGAGGTTAAGTGTAAGGCCATTGAGGGTAATACCTGATGGGATAATCTTGCATCTGCCCACAGTCCTTGGGTTTTCACAAGATGGCTCGACCCAAGGACCATTTAGTGTAAATGCTGGGCCCATGGTGATGGACTCAGGGGTTCACTGTGACCTATAGTGAATTCGGCTAGGCCTTGTAACAAAGGCTAGGTTGAACCCATGTGGCTGATGTGTAGATTAATGCTAGGGTCCCACGCTATACAAAGAGAACCAAACTAGCCAACATATAATTGGTTAAGTGAGCAGTATGACTTAATGGGCCTAAAGCCCATTTCGAATTGGGCTTAAATGGTTTAATTAAATTGGGCCATTCTGGTTTCATAATCTAACTGGGATTAGAAATTGGATAAGATAAGTCTTATCAACTTGAGAGTCCAGATCTAAATACAAGATTTCGATTAGGAAATCTCATTCCTAATCAGATTAGAAAGTTGACCCTGAATGGATTATAAATAGGGGGCGAATTCCACAGAGAGAATACACTCCTTTCTGCAGTCTCTTCTCTTCCTTAATTCTTGGCGCCATCCCAGTTCGATCTCCACCTACTAGAGTGATCAAGAAGTGTTATTGATATTGTTTCTTAGTGAAGAAACAATCAGAAGTTGTACTCACACCACCCTGCTCGATTCTTGGTGAAGAATCCCAGGTTCTTGTTGGAGAACCGTTCTTGCTGATCCTACCTCAACATGTGCTGTGTCATTTTCAGTGGAGGTGGATTTGGTATCCTCTTTGGGCGTGAACACCTACGTTGAGAGTTCCTTTTAATTCCGTATCAGGTATTTCCCACTCCCTTCTTTTGGTTTCAGATCTGGTCTGGTTTTGTTTCAAGAATGAACCTTGAAAATGCAGTTTTCTAAATTAGGGAATACGATTCCTAGATGGGAGAGAGAAATTTTTTGAAATTTCGCCCAACCTTCCTATAGGGTTCGGCCATCCATATGATGGATCTCCCTTCCCTTCATCAAACTCTAGGAGAATGAGAACCCAACCCACAATTCTTTTACCACAGAGAAGAGTGATATGGTCCCTTGATCGAGCATCATCTTCAAAGATTCTCCTATTTCTTTCTTTCCAAACTTCCCAACAGACAGCAAAAGGAATATAGCTCCAAGCAATCTTTGCCTTGGCATTTCCCCTCACACTTGGTCACCTAGAGAAAAGCTCCTCTGCTGAACAAGGTTCCATCCAACTAGCTTCAAAGAGACCAAAGAAAAAGCCCCAGATGAACTTAGAGTAGGGCACTCAACAAACAAATGATGAACATTGTCCTTTGCATTCTCACATAAGTAATATCTGATAGCCATGTTTTGAAGATGATTTAAGGTCAGAATGCCATCCAATGCCACTAGCCATGCAAAAGCTTCCACCCGTGGAAGAACAGGGTTTCCCCAAATCCCTTTTAACTCTGATCTTTCTCCAACATTCCTTGATAGAGCCTTGTAGAAGGATTTGACTAAGAATGAACCATTTCAAGATTCTTTCCACCACCTTGAATTTTGGGTACCACACTACTCTACCTTGATTGATCTCAAAATTCTCCGCAACAGAGCTATTCTTCATACCCAACCTATACAACCGTGGGCAAAGGTCACACAGTTTTCTAAATCCTAACCAATCATCTTTCCAGAATTTAATTGTTGATCTATCCCCAACTTTGAAAGACACTAAGTTGAGGGAAGCCGATTGGAAACAAACACATAATTCCCTTCCAAACACTCCATAAGGGGTCTTCACTTCTTTAGAACCCCACCTGGACCCAACCACCCCATATTTGCACACTACCACCCTCCTCCAAAGAGCCTCCCTCTCAGAGCTAAATATCCGCAGTCATTTCCCTAGTAGAGCTTTATTGAAGAGCTTTATTTTTCTGATTCCTAGACCTCCATCTTTCTTCTCCCTGCAGAACCCGTCCCATTTTACAAAGTGAAATTTCTTTTCTAACCCTTTGACTCCTCATAAGAACTCCCTGCAGAACCCATCCCATTTTACAAAGTGAAAATTCTTTTCTAACCCTTTGACTCCTCATAAGAACTCCCTTTGCATTTTTTTTTCAGTTGATCTTATCATAGAAGCTGGAGCTTTTAAATCAACTAAGGGGGCATTAACCAATTCTATGTGCAAGCATAAAAGATCAACTAAGGGCATTAACCACAAGAGCAAACATGAAATGGGGAAAAGGTCCTATTCTCAATTGTAAGTTTTCTTTCTTCATTTTAATGAAATTTTCATTTTACTGTAAAGATGCATCCCTAAGAATAAAAGTTAGAATTCAGGAAAGTATCCAGACTATTCCTATAAATAAATTTTATCTACAGTCTAAATCTATACAATTAAGACTAGGTGAAAGAACAAATATTGCATTCAACAAACCTCATATACAATTATAATGGTAATTCATTTTTCCAATCAACTACAATGTTACATGTGCACACACACGTGGGGGGGGGGGCATTGTTGCTTACAAATTGAAGGCCGCTATATACACGATAGAAGTCTTTTGATGTTGTAATGTCAATGAACCCAGTCTTTGGAGTTGTGCTCCATTTACTACAGTACTTATCCAATGCTGCACTTGTAAAAGCAAGGGCATATTCCAGCAGGCTCCCTGTATTCAAGTTTGCCTTGTACAACGTATCTGCAACAAGAAGAACAAAACATAGTTCTAACTTATGAACAAAATGATGATATAATCTTTACATATTAGAGGTATAAAAATATATTAAATAAATAATGGTCAATATTCCACTTTGTAAGGGATGTCAAAAGCATGAAAATATGTGTGCTCAAGATGGCAAACTCAAAGGCTCAAGTGAAACAAGGAGTCATAAAAATAGTACTATAGTGAGATGTAAATAGAAGAAAAAAATTAATGGTTATCTGAGACATGGTTTGCAATTTTGTTATATATTGATGTTTGACCATGTAGAAATAGGAAAATTTTAGGGATATTTAGCTAATTTTGCTAAAATATTCGGAGGATCTAAAGAAATTAGAGAAGTTACTAAAAACATGGAAATTGTTAAAGAAACTTCATGGATTGTTAGAACGAGTAATAGTTATCTCTCTATGTCATCCTTCTAGCCTTCTAGTGATCTTCTCCATCTTCTTTTCTATATAAATTTCATTCACTTGAGACTTTGATTTCTGTTTTTTTCTTTTATTTTTAAATATACTGAGGAACCTTATTTGTAGTTCTTTTGAATTATAGTGACATAGCAAGAAAACCACATACAAAATAGTAAGCCAGTCATCCAATCACAGAGTCTCCATTTATTCTTTTAGGAAGAGGCTTGCAAAAATCCCAATAATTTAATCAAATATTGGAAAGTTTTGATGATATGATAAAATTTTCAATCTTATATATTTAACATCAATGGCATTCAAAATATTCCCAATATATCAATGATACAAGGGAAAAAAGATTCTTGGAATATTTTTATCACCCCTAGCAAAATGGGGAGATTTCTCCAAATCTAACTGATATCTTTGTCACCCATGGAGATCAATACTTGGGTTTCTAATGGGAAGATTTCTGAATTTCTTTTACCAGCACAACTCTCAACTGGTTTAGTTCTTTAAGTTGGTTGGTTTGATTCCTATGGTGTTGGACCTCTTATCTAGCTTAGTCCTAGGAGTTCTGATCTCCTAAGGTGCAGTCCCTATTGGGTACTTTGAAGCTCATTCCGTCAGGAATTGGATAGTTGATTACCACATTTAGTCTCCAATGGCTTCAGATGGAACTGATATCTTTGTTGTAAGGTTTAATGGGTCCATATATGGTAATGTGGCCATCCCAATTTCAGTTTTATGGGTAAGGAAAGGCCCTATAGAGTCTCCTAGATGATTCCAGATCCTGGTCTGATGGCCAAGACATATTTCATCAATTCTGTGGCTTTCAGATGGCAAGGGAGATGTAGGACTTGTTAGAAAAAGTCTATCAGCAGAATAATGTGGCTAGAAAGTTTCAACTTGAACATGATTTTTTCACGCAAAAGGAGAAAAGAAGATAAATAAATATTATGCAGGTTTTATTTCTTTGTGGATTCAACCAGAGAAAATGGATTCTTCTGATGATCCCTCCTTTTATGAGAAATTTAGGAACATCAGGATGAAAGGAAAGTCATGCAGCTTATGGAAATTTTTCTTGAATATGAATATGTTAGAGCCAGTATTCTAATAGTGAGAGTGTGCAGAGGTAAAAATCTTCTTGTGATCTTTTTCTAACCCCAAACTTTACCTTTACTCCTGGTGGAGGGGTGGCCACCATAATTTTATTAATGAAATCCAAAAAACACTTGGGGGGGGGGGGGCATAAAAACCTTACCCCTCGAGAGAATCTACAAGACTAAACAACCGGAGGGCACTCAACTATGGACAAAAATGTGATATCAGCCCAAAGATTGCATGCCAAATTGGCTGAAGTGTCAGCCACCTTATGCTGAATCGTGAAAGATACTGAGACATTCTGTAGTGCTAGTAAGAGATACCAAATAGTCCAAGGGAGAGCAGGCACCATTAATACTATCAACAAGAATCTGTGAATCAGAGAGAACTACAAATCCAGGGCATCAAAGATCCCTAGAAGCCAACAGGCCATCCAAAAGGGCATATTCGTTGTTTCCCCATAGTATCTAGAGAAGCAATACCAAACACAGTTCTTATGGTCTTGGATCCAACCTCCACCACCAGCACAACTGGGATCACCTTGATTAGCCCCATCTACTTGCAAGATCCAAACATGTGAAGACGGCAGGATGTGAAATACTAGAATTACTCTCTTAGCTCGAACAAGATGGATAGACAAAGTGACAAACCTGGCCTTTCCAACCGATTGCATTGCACACCCGAACACTCCTTACCAAAAACTTTATCATAACAAACCTCCTGGATCCACTGAAGGACAGCCTGGATAACACCATATAACATAAAAAAATTACCCTCTATGACCTTTCGGCGTCTCTCTTTCCATATCTCCTGTAACACCAAAGAGGGGACAAGACCAACAGTCCACCCCTATTGATTTTAGTATTCCAAAACAATTAAACCACCTGCTGAGAGACATATTCATTCTCGAAGAGGGGAATCTCAAGGTAGGAGATGAAAAAATGCCAAACCTTCACTTGAAAGAAGAAGAAGAACTGTTTACTGTACTACAGGTTTGAAGAGAAGAAAAGAGAGAAAGAGAGAGAGAGAAAAAGAGTGAAGAGAGGAGAAAAGAAAGAAGGGGTTCAATGGTGAATGATCTGCTGCCCCATACACTCTTTTATTTATAGCTTTTAGGATCCTTACAAGAATAGGAAATAAACAAAAAATAGAAACAATAAGGCCAGCCAGCCCAACTTAATAGAAATTAGAAACTTCTAATAACAGAAATTAGAAACTACTAATAAAAGAAATTAGAAACAACTAGGTGTTGGTATGAAACCACACACACTAGAGCCTGAGTGTGGGTATGGAACCCCACACTCGTGGCTAACCAACTATTTCTTCACTCCCCCTCAAGTTGGGAGTAGATATTTGTCATGCCCAACTTGCGTAGATCTGTCTCCAATTTGCCTTTTGTGACTGCTTTGGTGAAGAGATCAGCTAACTGCATGTCTGAGGCAATGTAAGGAAGGCATACTTCTTGAGATGCGACTCGCTCTCAGATAAAATGTCTATCAACCTCGATATGCTTAGTCCTGTCATGCTGTGTTGTGGGCAATATTAATTGCAGTTTGATTATCACAATACAACATCCAAGGCTTCTCATAATCAACCTCCAACTCATAAAGCAAGGATCTCAGCCATAACACTTCTACAACACCATTGACCATGGATCTGTATTCCGCTTTTGCACTGGAGTGAGCAACAACATTTTGTTTCTTGCTTCTCCAGGAAACAAGATTTTCCCCCACAAATGCACAATATCTAGAGGTGGGCCTCCTATCATCAACACATCTATCCCAATCAGCATCTGTATACACTTCTATTTTCATATGACCATTATTCTTGAAAAGTTTACCTCTCCCTGGACATCTCTTTAAGTAGGCAAGGATCCTTTCTACTGCAAGGAGATGGGTGGTCCTAGGAGAAAGCATGTATTGACTGACAACATTGACGACATAAGAAATATCTGGTCGGGTTAGACAGAGATAAAGAAGTTTCCCAACCAACCTTTGGTACATAGCCCTGTCCTCAAGGAGTTCTCCACTTTCTGCACTTATCTTATGGTTAGGCTCAATGGGAGTATCAGTAGGTTTCACTCCTAACTTGCCAGTTTCTTCCAATAAGTCTAGAACATACTTCCTTTGGAAGATGAAAATGCCATGCTTAGATTGAGCTACCTCAATTCCTAGGAAATAGTGTAACTTTCCTAGGTCTTTTACTTCAAATTCCTTGAGAAGGTGCTGTTTAAGGGTTTCAATTTCACTAGTGTCACTTCCTGTTATCACAATGTCATCTACATAGATTGCAAGTAGAGTCAGGGAATGACCTGTCTTCTAAAAGAAGAGGGTGTGATCTGACTGAGCCTATATGTATTCGAATTTGTCCAAAGCTAGTCTAAACCTATCAAACCAAGCTTTCGGGGATTGTTTCAGCCCGTACAAGACCTTCTTCAAAAGGCAAACTTTCTTTCCTGCTTCTGTACTATAAAAACCAAGGGTTAACTCCATGTATACTTCCTCTTGCAAGTCTCCGTTGAGGAAGGCATTCGTAACATCTAGCTGAAATATTGGCCATGAGAAATTTGCAACAATGGATAGAACTTTGATAGTGTTCATTTTTGTAACAGGTGCAAAGGTTTCTGTATAGTCTATGCCATAAGTTTGTGTGAATCCCTTTGCAACCAATCTGGCCTTATACCTCTCTACAGTACCATCAACATTATATTTCACAATAAACACCCATCTGCATCCAATAGGTTTCTTTCCTTCGGGCTGGTTAACTAGTTCCCATGTGTTGTTCTTGACAAGAGCATCCATCTCTACTTGCATTGCTTCCTTTTATTCAAGTATCAAAAGAGCTTCTTGCACTTTTCTGGGTATAGGAATAGAAGAAATAGATGCCAAGTAAGATGTGTAGGATTCTGAGAGACAATTATAGGAAAGGAACTTGGAGATGCAATGGGCAGTGGATGAGGTGCAACGATGCTTCCCTTTATGAATAGCAATTGGAAGATCAAAGTCATCTGTTGGTGAAGGCTAAACCCCTATAATAGTGGGATCAACAATGGGAGCAGTAGTAGTGTCTGGATCTAGAGTTGTAGAAGATGTTGGAACTGGCCTAGATTGCTGTTGAGTACAAGAATCAACCTGCCTCCACCACTTTCTGTGATACACCCTCAACTCCCTGCATTTTTGATAGCCTTCTTCGCAACTTCCCCCCCCTCAGTAACCAGGACAGGTAAAGGAACTCTTGGAGCTGGAACTGAAATCCCTTCCTCACTATTCTCCCCCTAGGGGGAAGCCTTATGATAATAGGGCATATCCTCAAAGAAGGTAACATCCATGGATACAAAGTGCTTCCCTGAAACTGACTCATAACAACAATATCCCTTTTGATTTTGTGCATACCCAAGGAAAATACACTTAGTGGCTTTGAGATCAAACTTGGAGCGATGAGGTCTAAGGATTTGAAATAAACAAGTACACC